AAATGTTTTTTTTTTTTTTTTTTTGAGACAGAGTCTCACTATGTCCCCTTTGGTAGAGTACCGTGGCATCACAACTCACAGCAACCTGAAACTCTTGGGCTTATGCAATTCTCTTCCCTCAGCCTCCCAAGTAGCTGGGAGTACAGGTGCTTGCCACAACTCCTGGCTATTTTTTGTTGCAGCTGTCTTTGTTGTCTAGCTGGTGCAGGCTGGATTTGAACTTGCCTGCCTTGGTGTATGTGGCTGGTGCTGAACCACTGTCCTACGGACACTGAGCCTCTTTTTTTTTTAAATTCACTTTTGAAAAAGGTAGTTTTGCCTTGTATAGAATTCTTGATTGATTTTTTTCCAGTACTTTGAGTATGGCATTCCACTACACTCTTATATTCACAGCAACATTCTTCACAATAGTCAAATGTCCATAACATATGAATGGATAAAGACAATGTGGTACATACATACAATGGAAGAGTATTCAGCCTTAAAAGGGCTCCTTTTATTGGTGACAACATGGATGAATCCTGAGGACATTATTCTAAGTGAAAGCAGTCAGTCATAGGAGGACAAATATAGTATTATTGCACTTATATGAGCTATGCATAATAGTCAAAACTACAGAAACAGAAAATTAAGCAGTGGTAACCAGGGGCTAGAGGGTGGCCACTATTCTCTATTTTTATATTTTTACCATGATTATGGAACATGTTCACAGCAGGGGAAACTGGGTGAAGGGCATATTGGAATTCTATGTACTATCTCTACATCTCTTTTGTAAGCAAAATTATTTCAAAATAAAACATTAAAAAACAAAAGAACATATTGTGCCACTCCCTTCTGGCCTGTCTGGTTTCTGATGGGAAATAAGCTGTTGATCTTATGGAGAATTCCTATATATGATGAATAACTTTTCTTTTGTGGCTTTTAAAATCCTCTGTGTTTTTGGTTTTGGATGGTTTGATTATGAGATATATCCACGTGGAGCTCTTTGAATTAATCTACTTAGAGTCTGCTGAGCTTATTGGATGTGAATGTAATGTAAATTAATGCCTTTCACCAAACTTAGGGAGTTTCAGTCACTGTTTTGTCAAAGATTCTTTCTTCCCCTTTCTCTCCCTCCTGCCCTCTTGACACCCTCATCATGAGTTTGTTGGTGCACAGGATGGTGTAACTCAAACAGATCCCTGGACTTTGCTCATTTTTTATTTATTCTTTTGTTGTTTTTGCTGTTCCTCAGACTGGATGATCCCAGGTCCCCCTATTGTTAATATGTTACAGAGCCATAGTCCATGTGTAAAAAATTAGGAAACTTACATTAATGCATTGGTATTAGTTAAACATCATAATTTATTTAGATTCTACTTTTTCTTTTTTTAAATGTCCTTTCTCTGTTCTAAGATCCGATCCAGGATACCACATTGCATTTAATAGGATCTTTATTGAATTTGAAGAGAGGGACTCAAGATAAGATGCTACTTAAGTCTCAACTCTTTTGTGACCAGTGAGGGCTTCCCAGAGAGATGTCTTAGAATTGTGGGACCTTCCTTTGGGTTGGAGTTCATGGTGTGTGGCTGACAGGCAATGCTCCCAAGAGCACAGATTTAGGGATTGGTCTCCTTCCACCATGACATGTACTGGTTTTGAATTTGTTGGCCTGAAGTTTCCTTTGAGCCATAGTTTTCTGTGTTATCTGGACAAGGACCAGGAATTTTTGGAAAATAGGGGGCGGAGAAAGGGTTCTGCTGTGCATCCCAAGAGAGGCAGTCGAATGACCTTCAAGAGAATGGCTGCCCTTGCCACTGCCTGGTTTGCCTGCATGACCACCGGCAAGCTACTTCTCTCTGTGATTCAGTCTCCACATCCATAAAAGCAGGGATGATACATGTATCTTCTTTTCTTGGTTGTTGTGAGGAATGAATGAACACATGAAATATGCAATGAAAACACCCAGACCACAGCACTCAGTGTTAACCACTATTATTTAATACTAGGAAATAATGATGAGTAG